CAGCCATTGCTTGCTTCAGTCTGAACAAAAGCAGCTGAAGCACAAATCACCTTGTAAAATAAAGGGGCCCGAGCTTGGGGGAGCTCTTCAGCTGGTAGAAATCACAGAACCATTTAAGTCAAATGATATCATGCTRTAGAGATTTTAGGCTAACCTACACAGCAAGGGGTAAGGCCTCAGCTGATGTCACAGGGAGTATGACAACGTTCCTTTGGCATCTCTTCCTGTGTGAAGCCATGTTGGGTTCCAAGGCAGTCATCAGCCAGATCAAACATTTTTTATATGAAACTCTTCAGTGCAAGACGTGGGTGGGTCTCACACAACATTTCAGTGGTTCCCAGAGGGTTTTGGTCATTGATATGTGAAGAGGGCCAGCTCTGCACCACGGGGCCTCAGKGAAACAATAGAGGGCTCAGATGCTGCATGTGCTTGAAGCTGAAATTAAAGCTGCTTTAAGCTGACATGTAAGCAATATTTCAGTGCAGGGGAATGTTATATCCTGGACAAAAGGGGTCTTTAGCGTGCATATGCCTGTATTGTTACAGCATTATTTGGTCCTAGGGAGCAGAGATGTGAGACCTCTCACTACTGCAACATGGAGATGACCTTGGCCAAGTGATATTGGAGAAGCCATTTGTAATGGCTGGAAAAATGTCAAATACTAGGAACCTAAGATTGGTGATGTTTAATTTACASATCACTCTGAGATGGTATTTCAGTTCTAAAGGATATTTATCACTATCATACAGCCATTAGGAAGTATTTATATGCCAGTATTTTTTAGGTGCATATTCAGAGGACTGTGCCTAATCAATTAATAATAGCATGGCTCTTATTAACAGGAGTGGGAAACTGCTGCCTCCTGCACGTGTCAACAATTTGAGAACCAGCTAAGTACACCCTATCACTACCTTGTGCAGAACTGGAACAGGCCCTCTAGAAGCATTAGCTGCAGGAGGAAAGTTGTAGCCATACCTCTGCATTTGAAGATGCAGTTTACCCTAATTCCCAGCTAATTATGTTGTTGAGACTTGCCCAGTGTTACAGCTGAGAAAATGGTAGGGCATGGAAATGCCAGTGTTTAGGAGCCCTGCCACATTGCTGGGCCATTCACCACCTTCCCACTCGAGCTAATCACCCTAAAGCCTCTCAGTCYCAGCTCTATCCACTGCTAAATCCCTGTAGCTGCAGACTGTGCAAAGTTCAACCCTCTGAGTTCACTTTAAAAAAAAAAAAGTATGTACATGCTAGGGGGAAATGATGTTTCCCTGTGCTAGGGAGGCACAGTTGCTTTCTAAGGAGGCTTATTTTAGCCAAAAGGCAGGAAATTGCAGCATGCCCAAGCAATTTAGGTACCAGCCCTGACTCAACTCCCCGACTGGATCTCCCACACTTTTAAACTCAGCAACATCCATGTGCTTTCTTGTCATTACTCAGTAGCCAGCACACACCCTGTGAGAGTCCCCTGCYGTGGCAGCTCCTTTGGAGAACTGACAGCCAAGGGAGAGGTTGAATCTTCACGGGGTCATTCCCACCATCCAGACTTTCCTCGTACACGTGATTGACACTTAGAAAACAACCATCCATGCACAAGTCCTTCCCTCAGTTTCCTCCATCCTTCCTAAAAATACACATCACACTTTTGACCTTCCTGGAGGATGAAGCTTTCTGTAGCRCACAATCATGGAGTGTCCTGCGTTGAAAGGCACCCACAAGGATCRTCAAAGTCCAGCTCTGGCYCTGCACAGGGCAGCCCCAAAAATCCCACCCTGTGCTACCTGAGAATGCTGTTGATCATCTCCACCAGCCTTTTCTGGAGGAGCCTCTTTTCCCAGCAGAGAAGCTCCTTTTAAAAGCATTTTCTGACATTGCCTTTTCTTGGGCTTTGACCAATTTCACTCTGCTATAATCCAAGTTCATTACAGTCTCTAAGAGTTACCAGGTAGCCTTGACCTGTTGTSTCTAATAACCTGTTAAAATGGTCTCTCCTGGTAGATTATTCAATTATTRATCCTCTGTCTCCCTGGAAAAACCCTCCAGGACCTCGTATATTTTACCATGCAATCTGTGGAGAATGATAGGTAGAGTAACCATTCGTGGTTAAAAACAAACAAAACCCCCTGAGTACCTGTGCTCAAATTCCTAAAGCTCTCCTAAATGAAACCTGAAGGCTGATTTTGGTCCTGTGAGCAGAGCTCATAATCAAAGTGTGCTGCAAAGCATCAGCTGCTCCAGGATAACCAGAGCCCTCGACTCTGGGGAGAAGAAATGCAGCAAGCCTGAATCTTTTCTACTGGTGTTTAATGCTTTTTATTTCCTAATTGCAGTGGCTCRAGACACAGTTACCACAGTTGTCCTGATGCTCATTAAATTACTACAACTGAGCCATATATCTAAATTTGCTGATAGACAACCATATGGTTTGAAATTGAGTTTTTAAGTGGTTGTAGGAACCAAGCAGAGTTTTCAARGATTTTTGGTTTTATTGTTGAAGCAAACAGCGGTCTCAGATACTTGGGTGGTTGGGGTTTTTTGCAATTCCACCAGCCTACTAAATACCTCTGCAAGTCTGAGCAGCTCAGTCAGTTTAGAATATGGGATGGGGCCCTTGATAACTTAACATTTTTCCTGTGAAGATCTCAAGATGCAGATCTGCGTTCTTCACACTGGAGGTGGATTTATATTCAAGTTTAGCCTGAATACATCCTAAAAACTAAGTGAACAACAAAAAAACAAAGCTCCGCTTGAATCCTAGCTCTTCTTAGCAACTGAAGCTGTCTTTGTTTCCATATAGACAACTCAGGGTGATTTTTTGGTGTGCTTTGGTTTTGTGCTGAAGGGACACCCAGTGAGTGTGAGAGAGAGAGAGAGAGAGAGAGAGAGAGATTGAAAAGAACCTTTTTTAATTAAAAAAGGTTTTTAAACCTTTTTTGCCTATTGCAAATAATGAGGGGAAAGTAAAGACAAGTGTAAATCACATCTCTGTAACTGAGAACTGTAAATATGAGCTGTGAGGTGCTGTAGTTGGAGGTTGTTTGCCCTGGCTTGAAAATTCAGGAACACAACAAAGCCTGACTTTGACTGGCTTCTGCAGGAGCACCATCCCTCCAAATGACCCCAAAGATTCTTGCACTGAAAAGCCATTTTCTATTCATTTCTTGCATTGAAAGAATTCTGGAATGAATTGCACGTGTGTCAAAGAACCACTGAAGTGGCACCTTACTACCCTTTTATCTGAGAACCTCCCACAACATTAAAAGGCACAAACCAGAAGAGTAATGTAATCTCTCTTATCTTGAATCATAAATGAGGTCTAGAATAGAAGTTTTTCTCGTGTATGTGTGTGTGTGTATGTGTGCAAAAACATTGACAGAAAGTCAATGAAAGATRTGTTTTGTGAATTTGGGAGGAGATGACAGAAATCAAAGTGGAAGCCTTCAGCTTTAGTTTTCAGGCTCTTTTACAGACCTCTCACTTAGTCCAGGAAAACTTGTGCCCAGGTTTCCTTTTTTAAATTAAAACCTAGGAAAATTTCAAATTGGGATGAAGATTTTTCTGTGGAAAATGTTAATGAAAAAGAAGGTCTTTCCAAGCAAAAAGTCTGTCTCTTTCCTTTCACATGCCTCCTCTTGCAGATGTCATGGATGGTGACCATCAGAGTAGGTTTCAGCTAGAATGTCAACCTGCAATTTTTGCCAGATGTCATCTCTTCAAAACAGACTGCTTTATTCTTTGTAGGACTGGCAGGGAGAGCCTGAAGTGAGGGCACTGGCAAACTAARCTCTGGTTTTAGAGGCAGTACAGGTGTCAGAGATACTCTTTGCAGTTTGAAAGCAGGAAAATAACCTTAATATCTCTATCCATTTCAGGTGTGTTCTCAAAATGTGTTATTCATATCCTTTCTCCTAAWGTATTTCACGTTCTCATGACATCCTCCCAATTGCAACAGTGCCAGCCCAGATAGACAGACAGCCAGCCAGGAATGGCAAGACAGGCTGACAAGAATCCATTGTAGCGTTTGGAAGGTGGATGTCTTTGGTTGCCAGCCCTTGAACAGCTCWAACAAGCCATCTCTCCAAGGCTGGTAGTGCTTTCAGAGTAAAATACAATCACACATCCATCTTAGGGATGTGGACATCTGCTCCCTGAACCCCCGTTGTTTCTGACAGCAGCAGAAAGCCCAGCTCTGTGCAGTTCACATTCCCCACTCCATATTCCCAGTTGTTCTGTGCTGAACACACACATTGCAAACAGGAAGTAGGAGCAGCTCAACTCTTGGCTTCCTCAGTCTCAAGAGACTGCCACGAAACTGAAAAACACTAAACTAAAACTTAAGTGTCTGTTAGACCTTTAATTAGCGACCTAAGGAGTGTTTGCCAAGAGGAAATTTGAATTCAATTATCCAAATAGAAAGTATTTAACCTCTCAATAGCACTCAAGTAATTATAATACTTAGGTGTTGGTTTTTTTCAGGAACCTTAAAAAGTAAAACAAAAAATCAAATTGAAAATGGGAGAAGGTGTCAGTTTTATATCATAYGGAGCCTACAAAGGACAGCTGTAATACTGCCTTTGTTTTAGACTCACATATTCACASAGAAACGGGCAGCCTCAAGCAGGGAGAGCAGGTTGCAGGATTCTCCATTTCTCCACTAAAATTGCCAGCAACAGCATCAGAGCCAACAGTGTGAGCTTTATGTGCTTCAGAACAACCCTGAACACACGACTGAGACCAGCAGGTCACCTCACACAGCTTTGGATGCCATGGAGATGCTCTGTCAGTGTCTGCAGAACTGGGATGTACCAGAAGAGGCTGCATATTCCAGTCCATTTTGCAAACATTCCYTGATACCAGCCAAGCCATTTTCATTTCAGGTCACAGCAGCTGTTTCAGCCCCAATCCCAACTGTCCTTTACTGCACATCCACCCAAAAGTTTCCAGAAATAATCCCAAGGAAAAAAAAAGGAAAAGTTAATATTTTCTTGCTTCTCTCTTCACAGACTGTAGGTTGCTTTGGGATTATGTTTATCAGCTGCTTTCTGACAGCCGGTACGAAAATTTCATCCGATGGGAAGATAAGGAATCCAAAATATTTCGGATAGTGGATCCCAACGGGCTGGCCCGTCTGTGGGGAAACCACAAGGTAAGGAAGCARTGCAGTTTTCCCCCTGCAGCACTTATCCTCTTGTAGCATCACAGGATTCACTTATAAACAGGAGGAAAGAAGAAAGGATGGCATAAAAATTACTGCTGGAAAACAGGAATACAAAGCATCCATCCTGAAACACTAAAACCCATTCTTCATATAGAGAATCTGTTGGTTTGGTTTAAAGGCCTTTAGTTATGAATGCATCTAATTATAAAATTACAAGGAGTGCAAAAATTAACAGTTCTTCTCTCTCAAGGCATCTTATTTCTGCCCAAAACCTGATGCTGAGGATATTCTGATTGGATGTGGTTTACAAGGAGCTCTGTACTACAGCCTTGCAGGAGCTTTCTGTGTTCCTGTCAGCAGCAACTCCCAGATTCCACACAGTGCCCTGTGATAGACACCAAATGCTGCAGGATTATGGATTTCCTTCTATTGGGCAGTTCCTGCTTTGTTCTCTGGAAAGCAGGAACTGATTTTTGCAGCTCAGGACTGAGTTAAGATAGTATAGATGTATCTCTGCATGTATGTGAGTATATTCATGGCAATGTATGARTAGTCAGCATCTATCTACAACAAAATGATTGGCTCAGTGGATTCAGGGAGAACACTGGATATAGGTTATCCTGATTTTAGAAAGGCTTTTGAGACTGTCTCATAGCAGCCTCAAAGACAGACTAACTGAATATGATCTGGACAAGAATACAGTGAGGTGGATTGAAAACTGCCTGTTCTGCTGGGCTGAAAAGATGGTGAYYAAYGGCACAAAATCCAGTCCCTACTGATGTTACCCCASTAAAGGGGGCAGTACTGTTTAATAGGATGATGGAACAGATTCTCAAACAACAYGAAAACTGGGAGGAATARCTGACACACCAGAGGGTTGTGCTGAGGTTCTGAACATGGTGGAGATATGGGCTAATGGGAATTTGATGAAACTTACCCAACCTGCACATTAATAATTGGGCCAGGCCACCATGTCTCGTGCCAGGTGTCTAAAACTGAAGCTCCTTCAGACCACTGGCCACTTGGGTAACACAGTGACCCTTCAGCATATAAGAAATGGAAGAAGCACAGTATTTCAGGGGTTTCCCATTGAGAGGAGCCTAGATTTTTTAGGGAAAACATCATCCCTGTTAGTGTTTAATTGCCACAGAGCTCTTAGCAGAGTTATTGTGGTCATGGCAAGCAGGGGAGCCCTGCTCTAACTGGRAATTTTAGGCAGGTGGATCAGTCTCCTTTGATGAAGTCAAACTCCTGACATGGAGGCTCCCAGAAKGAAAACATGCTGCTACTGGTTGGGTGTTTTTTGCCCGTGGCGAGGCTGCTGCTTTGTGCTCGTGCAGAGCTTTGCCAGCAGAGCTGTCTCTCTGTGCCAGACAGCAACCACTGCTCCTTGAGCAGAGAAATGCTCTTCATGCAGACACAGCCCAAGGGGCTGATCCTGCTGTTCCAAGTCAGTTCTTTGGGGCTGCCCACCCACAGCTCTGCCAGTGCCCATCACTTCTGTCCTGTGACACCCAGGTTCAGCAGGGCCATCTCCTTTGGGGGCTCAGGAAGGTTTTGATGAACATCTCATATTTCATACACCTCAGTGCTCTGGCCGTGGCCTTTGGGGCCAACAGCTCCCATAGGGAAGGGGAGGATTGGTCACAGAAGGCAGATCTACAACCCARCTGGTTTCCTGATTTACACCAGTGKAAGGAGAGGAGAAGCAGGCTCAGCCCCACAGTGCTCTGTGAGCTTAACTGGTTAATGCAGGGGAATCCCACAGGAGCTGTGCTCTAAGCAGGGATTGCTGACAGGTTCAGCCTATCAGCCCCTGCTCCTAGGCTTTCACAAAAGGTGTTTTCATAAAGAACAGGTCTGTCACATCCCACTTGGCATCAGCATCTCCCTCCACCTATTGCTCCTCTTGTAGTTAATTAAGTTATTTGTTATCTGTGTTCCAAGAAACTGTAGAAAAACCTCACTTGGAATTTTTGTTAGACTCCTTGCTTAAATTGCTCTGAGTGGAAAGACACCCACAAAAATTTGGTGATGAGCGCTGTGGGGGCAGAATGGACTACAAGCAGCAAAAAAGGGTACATGTAATTTCTTGAACTGTCTTGTTTATTTTAGATTGCTGTGATAGTTCTGCAACTCCTTTTGGGGCTTAGGAAGGTTTTAATGAATCATCTCWCCATTTTTTTCCTTTTTTCTTTTGAAAAAAACAGAACAGAACAAATATGACTTATGAGAAAATGTCCAGAGCCCTACGCCACTACTACAAACTAAATATTATCCGGAAGGAGCCAGGACAAAGGCTTTTGTTCAGGTAATTTTCCTTCTTTGCCATTCCTTTCTACAGACAAATAGTTGTCGAGGATGGAGGATGGAATTGTGTGTGGGATACTTCATTGCCACAGTTRTAAGTGACAATGGCCATACATTAGCAAAAGCTGTCTGGAACTCCCCAGCTTTCAAGGCAGCCACACCAATTTACARAAACACAGGCCTGTCTCAATGATCAGTGGAGTCACTGCTTTGCCATTGTTTAGGACCTCAGATAAATGATTCAGCCAAACTGCTGGAAAACTCACTCCAAATGGGCCTCTCAAACACAGCTGCCAGTGGAAGCTGAGCAGGGATCGGGCATTTCCTCTGRGCACTGCAGAAGGGGAGCACTTGCTGACCATGTCTTTGGTGCAGCCTTCAAGGAAGAGAGGGACCTGCAAGAGCTGTTCATAAAACCCAACACACTGGATTGGATGATCCAACCAAGAATTTAGGAAATAGAGCCTGAAATACCATTAAACCAGAGAGCAGATGGCACAGAGGGAGAGCACTCCATTCTCTTCAGACAAGACCAGCAAATTCTACTGCASATCTGACCTTCTGAGCAATGAACTCAGACCAAACACTGCTGTGCTGTCTGGGGCCTGGATTTAGTGTGTGCTTGGAAATGGTATCAATAGGGATCCTGGAGTTTGTTTTCTTAATTAGCTRACAGAACTGCATTAGCATTCAAACTATCTTCAGCTGAAAAGGGTTCTGTGGAATGACTTGTTTATGTCAGCTCTTAGAAGGAAACATGGATGCGGAGAGGAGAATGAAGGAAAGCAACAGTCATGGGCAAAATCAAGTGCTTGATAGTAACTTTTTTYCTGGTGGAAAGTTAAAACAAGGTTGCTCCATCAGCAGCAGTACCAAGGGTACCTGGATCTTTGTGGCCTTGTGTGAAGACTGCCTTGCCCTGGGGCAATTCCTGATGCTGAACAGTGAATCTGCTTCTCTTGAAGCCTTCCCTTCAGTGGGGACAGAAACAAAACAGGAGCCCATCTCCTCTCAAGCAGGCTGCCCATTTTCTCAAAACTCTTGTAACTTTATGYCTCAGTTCCTCTCTCAGACTTGCCCAAATTGACCAACAGATTAAAAGGTCACCAAAGATCATAAAACATGAGCTATATAAACTTCATTTCCTTTGGAAACTGGGAAAAAAAAACCCCAGCAAAACATTTCTTTGCACAATTCCCAATAAAAACTTTCTGATGTTGTTTTCTCAGACCTATTTATATCTAAAGAAAAAAAGAACAGCTGCAAAAAATCAAGTCACTAACGTGCCTTTCTTGGCTACTCCTCGCAAGCACAGAAAGAATAGGAAATGTGACTTTAACWTGCAGGCAGTTATCATCTGTAGACATCTGTATGGAGCTTTAAGTGAGATGGAGTAAGAAAAGGATTTCTAATAGGTTGGCCAGGTGTCTGCTTCAACAAAATAGGTCAGATAGTGTTTCTTAATTTTCTTGCAGTTCTGGGTTGGGTTGTTTTTTGTTTTGGTTTGTTTTTTTTAATGAAATGCTATTAGAAATACACACACTTTGTTTTCTTTGCTGTGACCTAAAGCACAGAGCACGAGGAATACCCAAAGTCCTGCGGTGCAGTGCACATCAGCCCATGCTCCACGCGGAGGGGAGGCACCACTCTGTGTTTTGATTTCATCCTCATGCAAGATCAAGCAGACATTGCCAGGGTTTAAATCAGGGCACAGTCTGGCCCGTGGGCTTTGGTGCGTGCTCAGTGTGGAGCCAGGCACTGATTCACCGCTCCTGCATATGCGTTTTTCACCACCGTAACGCCGTTTGTAGAGCAGCATTTTTCCAGCACTGACACAGCAGTGAGTCATAGCCCTTTTTTTTTCCCCTAAATGCATATATGCACATCATTTCCAAAATTAGAAGGGATGGCAAAAGGTTAGTTCCAGGCTATGCTRTGTGTTTGCTGAGAGGCTCCAGCAGTGAGCTTTCTGGGTCAGTGATAGTAATGAGGCTCCTGTTGGTTGTTTTTGTTTTCACTGGGGCAAGGATCCTGAGCATATAATCAAATCAGCTGAAAATAAAATCAGCTCTTGTGATTAACACATTTCGTACTGCTGAATGTTAACCAGTACGTTGTTAATGAAAGACTGAAATTTTGTACCACTTCCAGCATAAACATTTTTCATCCTAATTTCTCCAGAAGTACTTGGGAGCTGGGAAACCGATTTTGTTGAAATCAGGATTTCACCCTTCTGTGCCACTCTCTCCTCCTACACTATTAAATTGAAAACAAAAAAGCAGAGCCTTTCTGTGCTACCTCTGTGCAGTTGTACACAAAAGCATCCTGGCAAAAGCCAAGACTGCAGATGTAAACTGCAGGCTGGTGGATGTCCTTTCCTATTTCCTGCTGCTGTGCCTCTCCAGAGGCAKTTTCTGTCTCCAGGGCCCTGCAGACTTACAGCCTTGAGACACTGGTGATGAGAGCCATGGCATTCATCTGCAAAGGATGAATGCCTACAATCACACAGGACGAGATTCTTTGCTTACAGTTCCTTAGCCCAAAAGCTTCTTCCTTCAGGGCTTTTTCCATTTCCTAGAACTTGTTCTGACTAGGACCTTGGCTTTTTCCAGCTCTGTTGCTTTGGTGTTTCATACTCTTCTCGCTCACCCCCTCTGGCCTGCACACAGSAGTATCCCTGTGCCTCCCCACACCTTGCAAGGGCTTGTGCTTTGAAATGTGCTGCTATAAAAGCCTTTCATGTCTCCATCACTGGACACCACACCAGTGTGCCTGGGCCATACTGTCATCTCACATGACAACAGCAAACCACATGAGGGAGAAGAAAGAAATATCATTCTTTGGTTCACATTTGGGCTTTCAAGAAGCCAGGGTAAATGCTGGTGATTCTTTTGTTTTCTTTCAAGGTGTGGAGGGAGAAGACAGTTGGGGAGAAGCTGGGAAATACTGAGGCATTGGGAGGATACAGCAGAGATTATCTTGGGAGCTGTGGAGCTCAGGGGTCTCAACAACCTGACGAAGATAAAAGCTGAGACTCTCAGAAATGCTCTTGTTCCTCTGTTTGCAGGTTCATGAAGACCCCAGACGAGATCATGAGTGGCCGGACAGACCGCCTCGAGCACCTTGAATCCCAGGAACTGGATGAACAAATATACCAAGAAGACGAGTGCTGAAGGAAACAGGTGCACCACCTYTGTGGGTCCCGGGGACAAACATCTGCCCGATGGTCGGCACAGTTTGGGAGGGGAAGCAACAACACAGGAGCAGTACTTGAGGTCGCCGCTTAGCTTGAAGACCACGCAGGACCTGAAGCACCTTAACAAAACAAACTAACAGGCAGAAGTGGTGCTGGCAGGAAAGCAAAGGGGAGAAAGCCTGGACTTATGCACTACTTCACTGTTCCTACAAAGTCTCCCTTGAGTTCTTTATTTCTTTTTGGTTTGTTTCAGTTTTGGGGTTTTTTTGTCCTTTTTTTTCCCTAATAAACATGCAGTTTGACTTTCCTTATCTCACATAGGACAAGACRTCAGATTATGCTTCTTCTTTTTTGKTTTTTTTTTTCTTGGAAGGCTTTCCTATGGAAATAGAGTGCTCTTATTTTCTGTGCAAGTCTCATGACACAACACAGCATAAACAATAGCAACACAGAAGGGATTTGCTCAAGGCTTCCAGTTTGCTTGGATYGATTTAAACGTGCTGCCACTGGGAAATGTGTTGGAGCTACCAAAAGAATTTCCCACACATACCTGTCAAATGAAGAGGATACACCCTTCACATGTAGGCTGGGCTGTCATCCCAGYATAGCTTGGGCTCACAATGAGTACTCCCGAGTGGCTGTTAACTGCTGGAATATGGACCAAAACCAATCACCTAAGTGCTCCAGAAAGGAGAAAAATAAATGTGACAAACCTCTGCAAGAGACTATCAGTTGATATTTTCCCTCCTTCTAGCAAGGAAGTGATAAAATGGAGCAGGGGGAAGGGAGGGTGGGGGCAAATGCATATATATATATGTATATATATGTGCATATATACATATATAAGTTTCATATATATATGTGTATATATATATATATGTAAATCCCCCAGTACATTCACAATGCAGAATTTCAGCTCAAAGTTTTCTATAAAAAGGGAAGACTGAAGCATCTGTAATTACAGGAGGGAGGGGTGTTTCTCATACCTGCTAGCAGTTTTGGGGTGAAAGGTGAAGGACTGTTCCTTACATCATAGGGAGAAAGCAAAGGGACTCATCACATGGTTTAAATTACTCAGAAGCCTCTCCAGGATCATTTTGTGCTGCTGGAGAGGCAGGTGATTCACCACTCTAAAAGCTGATGTTAGAGAACTAGAGACCAAATAGCTATACTTATATCTTGTAATTGATTTTGGCTTTGTTTTGGGATTTGGGTTTTTTTTAATGCCTCCCACTGCCTTCCCCCATCCTACAGCTCCTACATCAAGGAAGCTTGTCCCAGCTTGCTTGTTTTTAACATGATTTAAAAGACAAGAGAAAAACAAACCCTACAGCCATGTGGCTTTCTTGGTTTGGGGTTTTGTTCTGGTTGCGAGGTGCCCCCACGTTTGGTTTGCTGCACTGAGGGTGCTTGGCACGAGGCAAGGAACTGTGCCTAGTTTGGTCACAGAAAGCTCAKCAATCCTTCATGCCCAAACAAGAGAAACTGCTGGCCTGTTTCATTTCACAGCTTGGACCACCAGGACAGGAATGCCAAGTGTCCAGTGATCCATCAGCAGTGGATGGAAGATGATCTAGCAGCAGAAATGATGCTTGCAGAGGCAGAAGGTGTTTAGGGAAACTGCAGGAATCACATGGTGCCTGAAAGAAAGCACGTCCACAGCAGTGCATTAAAAGCTGAGAGCCTCTTTAATGGAAACATAAAAGAACTAGATCTGGAAAAAAATCAAAAGGCTAATCTAATCCATTTCAACCAAAAAACAAGGTACATTCCCATGATAGAGCTTTTATCAGCTATTAAACCAACACGACATTTGATCTTTCCACATATTTAACAAGAGGGTTAATCTATCCAGGAAAAAGTGGCACTCGGCAGTGAACAGTGTCCCCTGTGTTTAAACAGAGATAGGCCAATCACACCAAAGATTTAATATTGAGCCACAGGTCGCAGAAGGAACAGCTTTGTTAAGGGTGCAGATAAGCATCGTGCAACAAGGAGAGATTTTTCAGAGYCAGTATCTGATGAGGAATGACAGGGTGTGCATTTCTCCCTGAGCTTTTCCCAGCCATGTTTCTCTCTGTAAAATCACAGTAAGTTACAAGTCCCAGCACACCACATACTTGATTTTTCCTGTCTCAAAATAATGGCCAGGGGAGTGTGTTTCAGCAGTGTGGCCTGTCTCTGTCATGACTCTGAAGTCCTTGGAGCTCATGAGGTGTGAGATAGGAAGACACTGTGGGCCTTCAGTAGTCARACCTGAAACCTAAGGTCCCTTGAGACAAAGGGCTCAAGGAGTTGCTCTGGCACCTTGCTCAAGGTGGGAGCCAGGTCTTGGGAGCTGGAGTGCTGAATTTGACAGACAGGGTGTGATCAGAAGTACCAATGTAAAGACAGGCTCTRGCTGGATCCTTGGTGCCCAGTGGTAACAAGAAACCAATTTTTTGCAGAGGGTGATTCATCATCTTTACTGCTGTGGTCCAGACAACCGCACAATTGCATTATTTTCTCTCGCCTGCTGTTACAAGATGGCGAGGGACAAAAAGAAAAGGCAATAGGGACTTTCTGTATGAAATGCTCTGGTGAGTCATTGGCATGGCCAAGGTGCACACTGCAAAACAGAGAACCAGAGACAATCCACCCATTCCCTCACCATTATCTACCAAACAAAGTCCGTCCTCAGCACTGGGGAAGACMGGAAAATCACATGTGTTGCCCCATAGGGAAATTTTATAGCGGAAATGTTCACCTTTACCAAAAAATGCAATCACTTCCACTTGCAGAATATAGTTTAGTGGCTGTTGGAAACTTCCCAGTTCACACATAAAGGACATCTTAAGACAACTTCATCACAACCAYATAGAATACATTCTCTCAAGGCTGRTGCTAGTTGGAAGGAAAATRGCCTTTGACCTCAGAACAGGCCAGTCCCACCATGGCCCTTCCTGTCCCCTACCAGGTCTGGTAACAAAGGGAGTGATGTGGGTGAGATGTGGAGCTGCCAGAACTGCAGGGGCTTGGGACCTGTTGTGGGAGCTGCAGGATTTGAACTACTCTTGGRGTCGTCAAGTGAGTTATCAGCTATGAGTTAAAATAAAAAAGCAGAGCAGGCTAGAGCAGCTGCAGTTGAGAGATTCCCCTCAGCTTCACATGCATGTGGCAGATCCCTGGGAGTGCAAAGCCAGCATTAACATCCTGAGCTGTAGGAATGTGTCACTGCTTGCCAGGGCTRGCAGAGGTAACCCTGTCTTTCACCAACACTGACACCTGCCTTCCCCCAGCTCCTCATTTCCCAGTGTAGAATTTGCCAGCAGCAAAACAGCCAAACTTTCTGCCTTTGCCACCAAAGCAAGTGGCGAAGGGGAGAAAGTGTTWCATCCTTGGAGACACACAGAAGTCACCTGGACACAGTCCTGGGCAGCTGGGCCTGGCTGGTCCTGCCTGAGCAGAGAGGGTTTGACCAGATGACCTGCAGAGGTTCTTGCCAACCTCAGCACCCAGCTAAGGTTCCTCAGGCAGTGCAGTTCAAGTGGGATCTTCATTGTCATCAGCTTGCTGCAAGCCTCAACAAGCCACAGGTCAGTCAGGCAGGACGTGCTGCAGGTCCACAGCAGARTATTTTCTTGATTTAAGTTTGAAACCCGTTGACTGCCTCTCTGTGCAGAGAACACTACTGGGGCCCTTTCTGTGAACACTAAGTCGCTGCCACCCTCCCCAGATTTCAAACTCCACTTATGCATTCTCCAGATCTCTTTTGTCAGACTGCAATTGTGTGCAAATCCAGAGTTGGAGGTCTTTTTTTTTTTTTTTTTTAAATAAAATTCTAGTGTTTTTATTGATGATGGCTTTTGTTTTTTTAAGGTGTGGGGCTAAGGGACTGAATCAAATGAATGTAATGAAACAAAAACAAACAAAAAAGCCTATTCTCAGGGCCAGTGAGTTGCAAATAATTTTTAAAATGCTTGTAATTACATCATCTCAATAAAAAAATTTAATATAAAAGCAGGAATGCCAAATTTGTTGGTGCAATCATTGCTACAAGGTTATTTCTTTTTAAAAACCATTGTACAAAAAAAAAAATCTATAGTACATAGCAGCTGTTTTCAATCAGGAAATAGAACCTGCAGGCTCCCCCTGCCCAAACACRTATGAGCAGTGCCTTGATCTTCCTTGGGAAGTGTTTGGAAAAGTTAAGGCTGTCCCTTGAAATAATTACTTTGCTGCCTGTCCTGAGAGATGAGCCAAGTACTCCTCTAATGACTTGGTGTGTGTACCTGGTTTTTCCTTCTCTTGGAGGGGACGTCGAAGAAAAAAGGAAAACCAGAAATGAGTTGTGATGACTGAATCATCTTTTTTAGCCTGCTGAACAGGCCAGGTCAAAGAGTATGAGAGCAAGAGGTTTTGAAGAGTGTTCATCTTTGCAAACCAGCCTAGAAACACAGTCCCTAGGATGCTGCTCTTCCAGCACAGCAGGACTGTACTTCCAAGTGCTTATCCCTAACCAGGAGGGGAGGGCACAGCAATAGGAGGTGGCACAAACTGCTCCCTGCTGTCCT